GTTCATCATTTTAACCTTATAATTGATGTCCTTACTTTTTAATGTTGACTCTATTTTATTATAGTCAACCACATTACTTATGACTACTGGAGGCGGCCTAGAGTTTTTCGTGACATTGCCTCGACTTTTAGAATCAGGAACATCCGCTTTCTCAGCGTTGGTTGTCACCTGAACCACTTCCGGAGACGATTCCGCTTTTCTTTTTTAAAATAAACTTTTCTTAATTTAGTGCACTACATTATTATTGTTAAATTTGCTCTTGAATTTAGCACTTATAATAATTTTAAGATATATTCAAAATGCAAATCAAATGATAATCCTTACTCTGTCAAATTAGGTTTTAACGGATTGTAAAAACAACAACCAGAAAAATTAAAAAAAATTAAATGTAAACAAATGGAAATGTCGTTCTTCTTTACGAAATAATTATTTTTAAGTTAAGACTAGTAGACTTACCTTACAATTCCATAAATTAGATGAAATCATATTTTGTGTGGAGGTATTAAGAGAATTTTCTGTTTATCTGTCTTGTCATCATTTATGACAAATTTTAGACCATTGTTATTCATTATTCCTGTGAATAATGTTGTTTCAATGTTGAAGGAGAGTAGGATCCCAACTTATGATGATTTTTAAAAGTACTTCTTGCTTGACAGATTCCCAACTACTTAAACGTTGAAAATCACTCAGATAAATAGCTTCTGTGAATGGTGTTCCTTCAACAAGTCAAAGTTAAATGTAAGTAGATGTGCTGTAATGTAAGTAAATAGGCTGTACTTCTCGCCGGTGGTGCGCTTTTGTGACTGATGATTCTTTTAATGGTAATTGTCTGAAAAACCTTTGGGAATTAGGGACCCGAAGTTTATTTCGACTCCAAATTATCGTTTTTGGGCCATTATAATTATATCGTGATTAGGAAAAACTCCTCGTTAGGTTTCTTTGTCAAAGGAATTTATATCAAAGAATTTAAATCAAAGGACCTTTACCTTATTCGTTCACGTCTTGAATACGTTTTCAGGTTTGGTCCTCAATAAGCGACGTTCACAGCAACTGAACTGAAAAAAAAAAAGATCTCATAACTTTGGCCTCTTTTGAATGCGGACAAATATTGTAGGGGTAAATTATATTTTTTTCTTAGTTAAAATTATAGTTTTGACGATATTCTTCATCATTTTTTCAAAAAAAAGCTAGGTACCATTTCCAAACCGTGGTAAATCGATGTTTCAAAGGTCAATGATAGGCAAATTACTTTTCATTTATAAAGCGTGCGATAAATACACGCTACAAAAAAGGATACACGCGATAAAGGATACACGTGCGATAAAGGATACACGTTTTTGCTTCTTCTGGTTTTTCATTGGGAATGCTGAAGTCGATAGCACTGATATATATCTGGGAAAACCTTTATAGTCATTTCGTCCGTAATTAATGTTATGTTACAGAAATTTGTTGTTAATGTAAAAGAATTGTTTGAGTTTATTGATTGCAATGTCCACCTACCCAATTTTCAAAATCTTTGATTGTATACGATGCACCGCTTCCTATGCCTTTTTGTACACTGTTGTACACTCAAGCCATATACTCTTTGATAAGATTGGAGTACTTTATCCATTCCAGAATTATATTATATTATTTGGTAATTTTAGATGTTGGTGTTTCGAACGAAGGTAAGAATAAAAAAAATTACTTTCTATAAAAAGACGGTTGATTATTTAAATATTGTATTGTTGGCAAATACATGACGATTAAAGGGAAATTTGTTGGAAACATTTTTTAAAAATTTTGATTTTATTTCTAGACAAGTGCAAGAGGGATGAGATATGGTTTCAGATGCCGTTTTTCTTCTTAATGATCAACGTCCACCCCTGGACGTCATCAGTATAGTTGTCTGCCGGATTAGCCAATGAGCTATCTCATCGTCAAGGGGTTCAGTATGACCTCAGGGTAGCTCTTGTATTATAGAGTTACCCGAAAGTCTTAATGACGCTGACATAGGCGTTTCCTGTTTAGCTAAGATAGGGATGACTTCTCCTTCCTAGGGAATCAAAGACCTTTTTCCTTCGCTTATTCTTATGGAGTGTATTTTATGTTTTTCCACCATTCTTTTCATTTTTTCATCTAATTTTCTGACGCTTCGGATGGCTTCTCTTATTCTAGAAACCGGAAATACCATCTTCCTCTTGCATCAATTTATACCCGTCTTCTCATCGCGACTTCCAGGTTAAGCAGAGGCGGAAAAATATCAGTTTTCTTGATTCGCACCTTCTTGCTGCGGAGAGCCATGTATACCGAGCAAGGGAGGTCAACTCCAAAGGCTCTTACCTAGTGTACCAAAGTTTGATGAAGTGTAAGAAAAACCCCGCTAAATCTCGTTTAGTTCTGATTGTTTCTTCATGGAGTTTTTATAGTTCTTTATCACGCTTGGTTATTTGTGCTATTTGTATGTTTATTATTATTATTCAAGTAACGATTGCACGATAGACAGAAAGTAGTTTACCCCAAAACAACATTAAAATTGGCGTAGATAAAAATGAAACGAATTTATTAGCTAATCAGATAAAATTCAAGCCTGCTTCTGACAATTTTGAAAGATGTTTGGATAAAATCGAGGAAAACAAGTTAAATGAAACTCAATTCGTATGTTATATGCAAAAAGCATAAGTTAACAAGGGTGGAATTCAGTGATATTATGCTTAAAATTGGTATTTCTATATGTTTCTTATCCTCGGTTTTTTTGCCCCTTCATGTCGTGGTTCCTTATACTTGAAAGATCGATCGGCGCCATGTCGCGGTTACCGTCTTTTAAATTGCATAACTATCCAGCATACTAAGCAATTCTTCAAAATATATCTTTGGTGTTTCTTCTTTGGATTTCCTTTTCCGTAAGCTTTCGCCTCAAGGTATTTTTCTAAACTTTTGACACCTATTTAACCTACACCTACCAGACGGAGCTTCTGAAAAAGCTTAAAGAAGCTTAACTGGCCAGAAAATTTTCCTCGACAATTAGAAATACTGCTACGAATATATTTTGCTGTTGTATTTAATGTTTCCAAAACTGCAGTAGGAAAACCTTTGAACAATTTACTAATTAGGGACAATTATCATTTTGTTGTAGAAAATTATCTGGTATAAAAGGAAATTTTCGACGTCTGATCGCGAGGTTTTGACAATCTTTTTGATTCTTAGGTATGTTAAGTATTTTGTTGAGGGTGATGCAGTTTTGGTTTTTAATGATTACAAACTTCTGTTTACGGTACTTTCCACGAAAACTGAATGAATTTATTTCGCAATTCAATATTAGCTTTAAACCTATACGTGAGCTTGACAATGTGGAGAAGGATTATTGTGATAAGGCTCAACATAATAGAAATTCGGTTAAAAAGCAATATTTTGATTATCGGACTATTTCAAAAGATCAAAAGTGAGATAATGAAATTAAGGCATAACTTCTGATTAATGGTGATGATGAACTTAGTGCATTTATCGCGGAAACGACAAGAGTTTGTATGACTTATTAAACATTTTGATAATAGCCTGTGTTATTTGTCACATTTGTTTGAAACTATATCTCTCGATTTAAAACACCATGACGATATCCAGTTCGGGCCAAATCTTTTTAGATTCGCACTATACATTATCGCCGGAAGTGAATAGTATGGTCACATTGTCACCAAAGGTATGATCCACCGTCAACTCAAATCAACTTTATGTGCTACGGATGCTTCAATTAGCTGTGACTCGGAGTGTCCCATAATTCTTCTCGGTGTTGGACCTCGGTTAAAGAAGGAGTATGTGAGCCCTCGCTTGTAATAGCCGAGGACAAAATTATTTGTGCTTATTGGGTGAAATTTTGACTAAAACTGTAAACAATTTATACAATTGGTTAGAACAACAAAAATGGACAAATCGCTCCAGAGAAAGTGCTCAATCTTAATGGTTTACTAGATACAGATATTTTTTATACTTTTTATAAAAGTTCAAGTTACCTAAATTTTTAAATAGGTTAATAAAGAGCTTGACAAGATATAACTTTATTTTTCATTTAACTTTCGGAATAACAAGCAAATTAGAATATTTTTAACAACTCAAATTACCGCCTTTATTTTTTTTTAGTTTCTTTTTATCACAAATTTTAAGAGTAATTTACTTAAATAATTCTTTGCAGCAAGTAGAAATTTTGTGGAAAATCGATAAAATACCTCGGAAATATTTAACTAATCGTATATAATATTGCCATCTTTCTGAATCACAATTTTATTACCATGTTACCATGAAATTAAGAATAGGTTTAAATTAAGTTACATATTATAACATTTTTAATTAAAAAAAAAGAAATTTACATTTTATTCTCAGCGCTATTAAGTCAGTTCCGAAAAAATTAAATTTGAATGTTTGGCCTTACTTATGGGAAAAAAATCTAAATAGCCACTTTACTGTTGTTTTTTGAAAACTTTATTATTGTGACTTTTTTTTTCTACATTTCAGTAATTTCCATGGGCAATTCATAATTATTTTAAAAGTTGTAAGCATTTTTGGAAAGGCAGATCATAGAATTATTTTAGTCTACCTCATACATGTCTTGCTTTTTTAGACTATAATATAACAAAAGTTTTAATAAACTTAAAATTTATTGGTTTCTAAAATCTTTGTTATAATCCAAACCGATATAAACCTAGTCTAACAATAATTGAATCTAAAAATAGTTTCTCTATAAATCTCATATTAAGCTAACCTCTATAATCAGGTCTTCTATAATTTCAGAAGTTAAAAATTTTGTACACTTATCTGTGATAGAGAAATATAGGTATACTTTTTCGAATAGGTGCCAATTTTTTGGTGTATCTGATATATTCTGATCGAGCTGATTTTAAGCTTATAGTTGGAAATAAGGATTAAAATTAACAATATTTATAAAAAAATTTGTAACTTATTTTTAAATAAACCAAAGCTAAAAACATGTTTTCAAAGTTATTAAAAGCTTAATATTATACATTTTTCAGGTTTTAAAATTATGGTGGGAACATCAATTCTTTTCAAGGAACAGAAAATAGACTTCAAATACAAGTTTTTAACTTTAGAAGGACAAAAAAATACTCATTGAGAATGATGCCAACTTATTTAATTTTGATAGTGTTATTAGTTTATTCAGGTAAGTTGAAATTAAATTCTACTAGGATTTTAAATTACTAGGGACCCCTGTGGTTTGCTTATAAGCAGCATTATCTGTTGTAAAAACAGGATTGTGGCAATCAATTTTAAAATAAGTTTAGAAAAATTTGTACATATTATGGCATACATATGCAGGTATATACTTGTATATGCATAAATATCATATTGGTTTGAATACTAATGATAAATAAAAGTAATGGAAATATTTTTAATTTAATAAATTTTAAGATGTAATATGTGTCACTGTTAATTACATAGATATGATTAAAATTCAATTTAAGAATTAGTTAACAATTAAGAACGAAAAATTTCCTTATAAACAACGTTATCTGTTAAAATATTTCCATCATTTGTTTGTTATAAATTTTTTAAAAAGAAAAGAATCCGCAATTGGAAATAGTACCTTTCACGTTAAACTTTAAAACCAAAGTGAATGTGAATTAATAAAAAATCAATGCCTCTTTTCTTTATACAGACCTGGCTTGGCTACTTACTCAATTGAAATTTCGCAAGCACACGAAGAATAATTACCTTAGTACGTAACGTAACGTTATTCGTGTTCTTATATCTCTCACAATTTTTAGTTTTATTTTTTTAATTCCATTCCATGTTAAATACAACAACAAAAAATTATTTTACTCTTACTTAACTCATTTAAAATATTTCGCTTCCTTTTGCTTTTTATTACCGACCGTATTGTGTAAACAATAGGTAGGTTATGTGATGGCAACAAATTTTGCATATCGAGTTTTCGGTGGGAACATACTTCTCCATAGTAGGGAAGTGTAAATAAACTATTTTTAGCAACCTGTCGGTCTGTCGGTCTGTCGGTCTGTCGGTCTGTCGGTCTGTGTGTGCACGCGTGTATCTCAAGTTCGGCTGAACCGATTTTGATGAAATTTTATATGTAAGTTTGTTTCCACCATGGCACGGATCGATCAACTTTTGGTATATATCAGGCCTCGGGAACTGCACTTTTTAGCGGGCCTGTTTTACATTTTCGAACATTTTGAAGAAAATATTCAACCGATTTACTTGAAATTTTATATATAAGCTCAGCTCGACCGTCCGCAAAAATTCGTATATTTTGGAAGAAATCAGGCATCGGCAACTAGACGTTTACTACGGGCCAAATATACATTTTTGTGTATATAAAGAGAAATAATCAACCGATTTCATTGAAATTTAATATATGAACTCCTCGTATTAAAACAATGAACATATAAATTTTTTGGAAAGATCAGGGCTCGAAAACGGATTTGCGGGCCGATTTTACATTTTTCACCATTTTGAAGAAAGTATTCAACCGATTTACTTGAAATTTCATATATAAGCTTTGCTCGATCATATGCAAAAATTCCTAAGTTTTGGAAGAAATCAGGCATCAGCAACTGGGCGTTTACTACGGGCCAAATATACATTTTTGTGTATATAAAGAGAAATAATCAACCGATTTCATTGAAATTTAATATATGAACTCCTCGTATTAAAACAATGAACATATAAATTTTTTATAAAGATCAGGGCTCGAGAACTGATTTGCGGGCCGATTTTACATTTTTCACCATATCCACAGAACAAATTGATGGAATTTCTTGAAATTTGATATTTGAGTTCTGGTTGTTACCGAAACTAACTGGCGAGCATTTCATGGAATTCGGGTAGCACAAAGCGAAACTCTTCTAAGAGCCAAATTTACATTTTTCTAAGTATGTTAACTATAAGCTTACTAATGTCCTAAAAATTGGAAAGAAGTATTTAACAGACATTTTTATAATATTCTGTAAAACTTTCATTTAACTAGACAATACACAATGCGGTCGGTTATGTGCTGACCACATCAGATTTTTTTTGTTTATGGTAGTAAAGCAAAAAAACAAAAAAAAAGATTACTACTCTTTTTTTATTCTCTTTCGCTTTTCGCTTTTCATTTTTTGTTTTTGTTTTACAGTATGTATAATCAATTGAGTAATGTATCTACCCAGTATTCTCTTTTGCTATTTTCATTTTTTTGTTTTTGTTATTTGTTAGATTATATGTATACCTGTTCATGAACTGGAAAAATCTTGTAAAATATAATATAGATTACTAATAAAAAAGTTTTGCAGCAATTGTATTAATACCAATCTCAAGGAAAATGAACTGTGTTTTTTAAATAAACATTAACCAAAAAAAACTTTTAACTTTCACTTTAACGACAAAAAAGGTTCGAAATATGTCATACACATATTATATGAAAGTTATAAAATCAAATATACCTAAACTATAGACATATATATATATATACATATAAACCTATGTGATTTGACCTACATGATTTGATGAATACTTTTTGATTTTCTAATAATTTAATATTTAAACTGTATAACTCAGCTAAGGTGACCCACGGAGGCAACTTTTTTTTGTACCATATTTTTAACACTCAACACATTAGTTGGTGGGTCTGCTCTTCCTAACAGCCATCGGAATCTTAAAACAGCTTTATAGCTAGAAAAAGACTAGTTTGAAAGATCTCGGTGGCCGAATCAACGATTCGCGGGAAATAGGTGCAGAACTTAATCGCAACAATCTTTGAACCTTGGATTGCAACATTATTTTTTGTATGAATGAGTATAGTTTTATAAAACTTGTATTAGTAAAATAAATTTTTCTTCCATCAGTGGAAGGAGATAAATTATTGGAGATACTAAACAGATTATTACTAGCAACCTGCTGTTAGTTATTTTCTTTACTGTTCTCTTTGTACTCTAATAATGGCGCCATAGCCATATTCTTTTCAATGCTTTAGAAAAATTTAAAAAAAATTTAACGGAGGCCAAAAATTTAAATTAAATACAGTGTATTGCAATAATTTTAAATGCGCAGATCTCTTTTAGACTTATATATCAATCTGTCGTGTTCTTCTGCCACCAGTTAATCGTTAGACAATTATTTCATCGCTAACCTAGAATTTATTAAAAACGTCAACACTTTTATTCTTCTTTTCAATACGTGCTTTATCTCTCAGTGAATTGAATCGAAACTCTGTTCTTTTTTCAGTAAAGTTTTTATTTTTTCTACTGTCTCACTTTGATTGTGTATTGTGATAACGCTTGCTGGTCAAAATTTTTATTTGCAACATCTAAGCTCTAATGTACATATATTAAGGTGAGCCAATTATTATTTTTCCAAATTGCGAGTTCTTTAATGCTTTTTTGTCGACTGCGTTGCATACATTAAGGGAGGTTATGAGATAGCAAAAAATTATATAAATATATAGAACTATATTCTTCTATATTGTACGGCTACTTCTTGAATGGCTATAGACATGGGACAAAAGGCATTAGATATGGTTTTGCCTCTAGGGTACCAGAAAAATCTGACATTGGAACTTTTTAGCCCCGAAATAGCTCTATTTTAAGATTTTCTGGAAAAATTTTTGTATAACAAAAGCATGTTTTTCTTTTATACTTTATATAATTAGAAACACAAACTAAGAAATAAATTATACATTTTACGTTATTTTTAGAAACACAAACCGAGAAATAAATACTATTTGAAAATAATAATGATCTCACATATTTTTGGTTCGAAAAATCGAATTAATCTTAAAGTAAATAAATGTCAGCTTTTATTAAAGACATCAGATTTATTGTGGCATCTGAATATTAATGCTTCATTTGTTATTGTTTTGAACATTATGTTTCGACAGCAAACTTTAAAAAAATATATAATTGAATAAAATTATTATTTTGTTTTTGCCTAAACCTTTTCTTTATTTGAAAAATTTAATTCTATAAATTTAATTTTTTTAAAACTGCGGGTGAAAGTTTTAAAAAAATGGGTATACAATCATAATTATGTATGTTTATGCTTAAAATTTTCTAATTTTTTTAACGAAAAATTTTAAAATGTTCAATTCTAATACATTCATGTACATACAAATATTTGAATAAAAATATTATCTTATTTATGCCTAAATCTTTTCTTTATTTGAAAAAATTATTTCTGTATGTTACGCCCATGATTTAATAATTATGTGTTTCTATATGCCAAACTGCAGTTTTGAATATTATTCAATTCATATAGAAAGCTTAAAAAAATTAGTTAAAAAGCTTTAAAAAAATATACATGCATGTTTATGTATGTACTTAAATTTTTGCGAATTTTTCCAAACTATTATAACATTATTTTTTTGGAAATTTTCTTTAAACTTTTGTAATAATATTTATCTGTTATATATTAATACAAAAATGAAACAAAAATTTAAACAAAATTAAAAAAAAAAATTTTAAAATAATCCCAAAAAATAAAAATACGACAATATCCAGGCAGGCATCGATCCAATAACCTTCTGGTTATCAAACTACCACGCTACGCACCAGGCTACGCGGTAAATTAAATTTGCCTTTACAATTCTATATTTTTCGTATAACTCTTCAAAAACCATCCTATTTTACATTTTATATATATAGCTACTTCTCAAGTATAAAAAAGTACGGGTACTCCTAGAAGGGCTAGAGACATGGGACAGAAGGCATTAGATAGGGTTTTTGCCTCTAGGGTCCCAGAAAAAACAGGAACTCCACCCGTCCTCCCCCTTCACCTCCTCCCAAGATGACCGTTTCTTACAAAATGGTACTACATCCTGTAGGGGTAATTTTTTATTCACTTTTGGTGGTATAAATATTGTATGTAAATTCATATTTGGATGTGTGAGTTATAACAAAAAGTGATCACTTTCTTAAGAAAATTGTAAAGTTTTAATAAAATCTACATTATTTTATAATAAGTATGGACTTCCCTCCATCTGCTGCAAAATGTATTAGTAAGCAAAACATAAGTGTACATTAAATTTCTTGACAATATATTTTTAGAATAAAATTTTATAAGAAAATGTTATTCTTTTGCATTTATCTTTTTACAAATAGGGTATTTTCAAAAAAAAATATTTAGAATGGAAACTTGCTGATATTGATTTGTAAGTGCGAAGTTTTTTTA